TTCAAGGATGGTGAATTACATGATATATTGCAAAGTATTCGTGAAGACAGTGATGGTGGTGAAGACCATGCGAGTAACGATAACATTACAAGTGACCAACTTTTAGACGAGGAGTTTAGAGCCTTGGTTGTTCCAGAATTAGAGGAAAATATAAATGTCTTCGACATTGACAACCACCATGAAGATGACCTGGAATCAGAAGCCAATGTACACTTAGTAAGACTCCCACCATTAGTAAATTTCGAAGAACTTCAGCATTTAATCAGAACACTGAACAATAAACAGCGGTCTTATTTTCAACATCTTTTACAAAATATAGTTCAGAAAGTTCGATTTTATGAGTATGTTGCGGGAGGAGCTGGCGTAGGAAAAAGTCGCCTTATAAAAACCATTTATCAGGCAGTTACTTTTAGATATAATTCTATACCTGGCGCTAATCCGGATTTGCCAAAGTATTATTAAGTGCTCCTACCGGAAAAGCTGCTTTTGGAATTGGAGGTGCGACATTACATTCACTTTTTTCCCTTCCAGTAAACCAGTTCCGAGGAGAGCTACGTCCACTAAGCAGTGATCTTGTTAATAGGCTCTTGGTTAAATTTACAGATCTGAAATTGATCATAATAGACGAGGTCTCCATGGTTGGATGTAGAATGTTAGGTTTCCTTGACGCACGCCTGAGGCAAATTTTTAAAACGACTGAAGCCTTTGGAGGAATCTCTATAGTTTTGTTCGGAGATCTAAAACAACTGCTTCCAGTTGGGGATAAATGGATATTTAGTACCAATACTGCTAATCCATACCACATCCTCGCAGGGGGTGGCTTGTGGGATCTGTTTTCTTTTAATGAGCTAACAGAGATAATGCGACAAAGGGAGGACCAAGATTTCGCGTTTGCACTGAACCGAATGTCAACTGGAGAAATGACTGAAGAAGATGTTTCGCTCATAAAGTCAAGGGTCATACCAACATCGGAGATACCAAATGAAGCAATTCATTTATTCCTGTCAAACGAAGAAACCGATAATTATAATTCCCTTAGATTGGCACAAATCACATCAGAACAATTTGTTTCCAAGGCATCCGATATTTTGAAGTCAGATTCATTAGCTATCGGTCAACGGAATCAAATTTTAAGTTCGGTTCTCAATTTAAAGACCTCAGAAACGCAAGGACTTTGTAGTGAACTAAAATTAAAATTGAGTGCAAAATATATGATGACGATCAATATTGATACCAACGATGGCCTAGTCAATGGAGCCACTGGCATACTGAAGCATATTGATTTTGGTAGAAACTCAACAAAACCAATAACGCTTTGGATCTTATTTTCTGATGAAAGTGTTGGAAGAATGGCGAGAAGAAAAAAACCACATCCCACAGAATTATTATGGACTCCCATTGAAAAGTGCCGCCGAACGTTCCAGTACAAACGGAATGAACAAATAACTATAGAACGCTTACAGTTTCCATTGGTAGTTGCAGAAGGTATAACCATACACAAAAGTCAAGGCGCAACCTATGAAAAAGTTGCTGTTCATGTTCGGAAAGGTATGAGTAGGGCTTCTCTCTATGTCGCTTGTAGTAGAGCCACTAAAGCAAGTGGGCTATACATTATTGGAACATTTACTCCACCAAAACCTTTCTGCAGCTCTGATGTTGTCAAAATAGAATTGGAACGGCTTAGATTGCATAAAGCCATACACTTGCAGCATAGTAAGTTTAACACATCGAATAACGCTTTCACAATATTTTATCAAAACATACAAAGTCTGAGTGCTCATCATTCTGATATTTCTAGTGATGTCACTCTAATGCATTGTGACCTATTGTGTTTTGTGGAAACGTGGACATACCCGGAAGAAGAACTTTTCTTTGACAATTTCTCAATATTGTCACGAATAGATTGCAATCATACTGAAGGAAGAGTAAGAGATAAGAGGGGTATCGCAATTTATATTAAGAACGAAAAGTTTTCTGAGGCAAATATTATTTGTCAAAAAGATCTAAGCAGAGGCAGAAAATCATTTCAGTATTCCCTCATCCAATTCAGAGATTTGTATCTTATAGTACTTTACAGGAATTCTTCATATCCCGAATGCAACTTCAAACGTATTTTACTTGAAGCTATATGTGATATTAGAGAACGTTTCGGCGATAATTCAAATATTGTAATTGTCGGGGATTTCAATATCTGTAGAAGTAGTCGAACTAGTACAATTGAAACTGCTCTTCGTTCAATGGGCTTATTATCAAAGTTGGAGAGAAATATACCAACAACGAATCACGGTACGCACATCGATTGGGTATTTAGTAAAGAAAATTTAAATATTAATTGTAGCACTTACGCCACAGTTCACAGCCACCATGATGGAATAGTAATATATAATTAGAATTTTATACTTATAATATAGAATGTAAACACATTTTTTAATAGATTTAGTTTTTATAGAGTTTAGTAAAATATTTTATTGTTTACTCTGTAATCTGTATTAATATATAGATTTATGTTTGATCATAAACATAATATTAATGCAATGAATGACGAATTCGATTCATGTATGACTTCTATATATTTAATTATATTGAAATCCATATTAAGAATAAAATGTAAAATAAGATAACGTTAATTAAGATAGCAATAATTAGATTGTATTTAGACAATGAATTTTAGGTAATAAAAAACATACAGATAAAAAACAAAATAACCATTTTTTATGTTTTGTGTTAGAATAAGAATTTGATGTACAGATGAGGGTGCTTTTCAGATTTGGCGTTTCAAACATGTTTCTAAAACGTGTTTATTTCTAATGTGTACAATTTTCTTATGTGTACAATTTTTTCTGTGAAAGTTATGAGAAAGGAAAGGTGTTTCAAAAAAATGTTTACATCCGTTTGAAAGAAAAGAAAACAAATATTTAGTTTTACTTCAAACACTAATTGTGGTGGAGGGTATACAGTTTTACTTGTTATACCCTCCACCATGGGTAGGAGGGTATATTAACTTTGTCATTCCGTTTGTAACACCTCTAAATATTCGTCGTAGACCTCATAAAGTATATATATTCATAATCAGCATAAAATTCTAAGACGATTTAGCGGTGTCCGTCTGTCTGTCTGTCTGTCTGTCTGTCTGTCCGTCTGTCTGTCTGTCTGTTGAAATCACGATAGAGCCCACATTATTTGACGTAGACCTTTGAAATTTGGCACAAGTGTGTGTATTGTCCCTAGGATGGTTGGTATTGGAAATGGGATATATCGGTCCACGTTTTGGTATAGCCCCCATATAACGGTACCTCCCGATATTCGGTATTTTGATTATTTTTGCCACATTTTTCCACGGATTTGTCTAAAAATTGACCTTTGTAAGTCGTAATGGATTTTAGATCCAGTGGGGTAACATTATATGTATAGGTCCACGTTTTCATGTAGCCCCCATATAACGGTACCTCCCGTTATTCGGTATTTTGGTGATTTTTTCCACATTTTTCCACGGATTTGTCTAAAAATTGACCTTTGTAAGTCGTAATGGATTCTAGCTCCAGTGGGGTAACATTATATGTATGGGTCCACGTTTTCATGTAGCCCCCATATAACGATACCTCCCGTTATTCGGTATTTTGGTGATTTTTACCACATTTTTCCACGGATTTGTCTAAAAATTGACCTTTGTAAGTCATAATGGATGCTGGCTCCAGTGGGGTAACATTTTATGTACAGGTCCACGTTTTCATGTAGCCCCCATATAACGGTACCTCCCGATATTCGATGATTTGATGATTATTGACACATTTTTCCACGGATTTGTCTAAAAATTGGCCTTTGTAAGTCATAATGACTTCTAGCTCTATTGGGGAAACATTATATGTATAGGTCAACGTTTTCATATAGCCCCCATATAACGGTACCTCCCGTTATTCGGTATTTTGGTGATTTTTACCACATTTTTCCACGGATTTGTCTAAAAATTGGTCTTTGTAAGTCATAATGGATTCTGGCTCCAGTGGGGTAACATTATATGTATATGTCAACGTTTTCATAAAGCCCCTATATAACGGTACCTCCCGATATTCGGTATTTTGATTATTTTTGCCACATTTTTCCACGGATTTGTCTAAAAATTGGCCTTTGTAAGTCATAATGGATTCTAGCTCCAGTGGGGTAACATAATATGTATAGGCCACATTTATCCACAGATTTGTCTAAAAATTTGTCTTTATAAGTAATAACAGATTTTAGCTCCAGTGCGGTAACATTATATGTATAGGACCACGCTTTCATATATCCCCCATATAACGGTACCTCCTGATATCCAGTATTTTGATGATTTGTTGCCACATATTTCCACGGAATCGTTCCGATGATATGAAGATATTGATATTAAAAGTTTGTAGCGGGTGACAAAACATTCGCTGTATAGGTCCCCGTTTACTTTAGACTCCATATAACTGTACCTCCCGATTTTTGGTATTTTGATAATGTAAGTCGCAATTTTAAACGGAATTGGCCCAAATTTATTATTTGGAATTTGTAACAAGTTCTTAATCCAGTGGCTAAGCATTATATAATATTCCATTTAGTATTTGGGGTATGACATTGTATTTATAGGTCTACGGTAGCAACAACTTTATTTGAGTATGTACAGCGCCTATATGATGGTTTATAAAAGTTGTTATTGTTTGTGCCACAAATTTAGGGTAATAGATTTTAGTTTATCGCCGCAGGTAGTATGGTTGTGATTTTTATTGCCTCTGTTTGCTTGATCCTGTTTTTGTACTGTTTCTCCAGGTAGTACAGAGTGCATTTTGGTAACAATAACATAATAATTAAATGTACCTGTGGGTTATATAATCAAAACTCTCTTAAATTACCAGTAAACAAAGGTTAACCATAATAATAAAACTAATGTAATATACCTGTCGGTAATAAAACCTCCCACTCGTCAACTTGGTTCATATACCTGGTGCTCTACGCAGATTCTTACAAAACATCTTACCTGGGCAGTAAGTATTTGTGTATATAATAAACCAACTCAACTTTAACAAATCAGTTCACAACGAATCGTTAAACAAAACATAACCTAATACCAACGAAAATAACTGAAAAGTTTTCTATACAGATTTAAAACTGTTCCAATTCGACAATCAATAATTATGCCTAAACTACGTAAACAATCGGCACTACAACGTCAACGAATTATGAGGCAACATCTTCACAGTTACCGTGAACGGAATTTAAATGACGATCGGCTCAGAAACTCTCAACAGTTAGCAACAAGGAGACAGGATCCTGAATATAGAGAAAATGAGCGAGAAAGGGATAGAGCAGCACATTCAACTCGGCGCCAAGCAGTAAACTATAGATCTGCGGAACAAGAACGGGATATTTTGGCACACTCTATTCTCCGAATGAATTCCAGTTATCGAGCAACTGAACAGGCGCGCGATGCTTTGGCTCACGCTAATCGAAGAATGGATCCAACGTATAGGGAAGAAGAACAACAGAGGGACACATTGGCCCATTCGGTTCGAAGGATGGATCCGACGTACAGGGAGGAGGAACAACAAAGGGACACGGTAGCCCACTCAATGCGAAGAAGGGATCCGACGTATCGCGAAGAAGAGCAAGAGAGGAATACACTTGCACACTCTATCCATCGGATGAATGCGACATTTCGGGAAGGAGAACAAGAGAGGGATACTGTGGCTCGATCTGTTCGGAGAATGGATCCAACATACCGGGAGGAGGAACAACAGAGGGACACTTTGGCCCACTCTATTAGGAGAATGGATCCAACTTACCGGGAGGAGGAACAACAGAGGGACACTTTGGCCCACTCTATTCGGAGAATGGATCCAAGATACCGGGAGGAGGAACAGCAGAGGGACACTTTGGCCCACTCTATTCGGAGAATGGACCCAAGTTACCGGGAGGAGGAACAACAGAGGGACACTTTGGCCCACTCTATTAGGAGAATGGATCCAACTTACCGGGAGGAGGAACAACAGAGGGACACTTTGGCCCACTCTATTCGGAGAATGGATCCAACATACCGCGAGGAGGAACAACAGATGAACACTTTGGCCCATTCTATTCGGAGAATGGATCCAACATACCGGGACGAGGAACAACAGAGGGACACTTTGGTCCATTCTATTCGAAGAATGGATCCGGCGTATCGTGGAGAGGAACGAGAAAGGGACTCTTTGGCAAGATCTATTCTGCGACAAAATGAAGAATACCGCCAAGTCGAAAGAGAGAGAGACACAGCAATGCACCGAGTACGTCGAAGAAATCCAGTTTTCCGTATTATGGAACAAGAGCGGAACACTTCAGCTCGTCGTGTCACCAGACAAGTTGCTATGCAAATGCAAGAAGCAGAAAACAGGATGAGAAGTTGCCGCGTCCTTATTCATCGTATGAATCCTACAAACAGAGAAAATATAAACATGAGACAAGCTCTGAGAAGTTCAGCAAGGAGAAGAAATTTGTCGCCGGAATCGAGGTCACAACAACAAATTCAAGATACTTTGAGGTGCAGAGCTAGGATAATTTCCAATTTTTGCAATATTATCAAGAGCGGACCCACAGAAGTTTGTATTTGTTGTGGAGGTCTTTGGTTTGTTACTCAAATTAAGACTCTCCGCAAAACATTTGTTCTACAAAAATACCCAAATTTAAGTGCAGTTTTTTTCCTTTCAGACCAGTTTCCATCTGATAACGATATATATAAATTCTGCAACACATGCCACAAAATAATCAATGCGGGGAAGGTTCCTTCTATGTGTCTCTCAGAAGGTCTACATTTTCCAGCTATTCCGAGTGAACTTCAGGGCTTGACGTCGCTGGAAGAAAGGTTTGTTGCGCCACGAATTCCCTTTATGAGAATAGTTTCATTGGGTTATAATCGACAGTGTGCTGTAAGGGGTGCAGTAGTAAATGTCCCCATTTCACTCGATTCCACCGTCAACGTCCTTCCAAGAACGGCCGATCAAACTGAAGTTATCCAGGTTCATTTGAAGCGAAGAATATCTTACACACACTATTTTATGTCTGAAACGATTCGGCCCGGCAAAATTTTCGAAGCAGCGAGATACCTTATTGAAACGGAATTGTACAGGAAACATGAAATTTGTATTTCATCTGAATGGTTGGCCAATATGGGTCCCGCTGATCAAGTGCCGTTTATAGCAAATTCCGAAGATCGAAGTCTATTATCGAGCGTCATTGATTTTAACTTAGATGAAGATCACATTGAAGAACATAACCCCCAAGAAACCCTCTTAGATTATATTCCAGTCGAAAATGTTCAAATTCAAAATATTGAAATAGCTCCTGGTGAAGGCCATAGACCCATGGATTTGCTATTAGATGAGGACTCTGAAGAGCTATCATTTCCCACTATATACTGTGGTATTAAAAGAAAATCTACAGCGACAATAGCAAAATTGATAAAATCTGAAGCCCGGCGTTATGATAGGAGATGTGCGCGGGTAGACAAAGTCTTATACTCGTATAAAAATTAGAGTTTTCTAAAATCAAGAACAGTATTTCTACTTGTTTGAGGAAGAAAATTGGTACTCGCAGTTATACTGCAACGGATGCTCTTAATGACCGGTTCATACAAAATATAGTGCAGCACGACGAAGGGTATCACATTTTGAAAGGCGTGCGGTCTTCTCCAGCACATTGGGAGGCAGAGAAAAAGAAGGTCTTGGCTATGATCAGGCAATTTGGCATTCCAACGTTCTTTATAACTCTTTCTGCTGCTGAATCACAATGGCCAGAATTGATCGTTATATTGGTAAAAATTGCAGAAGGAAGGAATATTACCGAAGAAGAGGCAATGTCATTTAGCACCCAAAAACGGTACGAACTAATTAGGTCAGATCCAATTACATGTTCCAGGTATTTTGACCACAGAATAAGACACCTCTTCAAAAGTTTCACGGTTAATGGTGGAATATTCGACGAGTTTAATGTAATCAAATTCTACTGGAGAATAGAATTTCAACAGCGAGGGTCTCCTCATGTCCACGGCATATATTGGCTAAACAATGCCCCTTTGTTTGATATATCAGATCGAAATAGCTTCCAACGTGTTACGGATTTTGTAGATAAATTTGTTTCTACAGATTCGTCTAATAGCGAAATCCAAGACATAGTCCACTACCAGCAACACAACCACGGAAGAGCATGCCAACGTGAAATAAGAGGTCAAAAATTCTGTAGATTTCATATACCATATCCGCCAATGTCTAATACGGAACTTCTTTTGCCGTTTTCGGTTGGTGTAGATGAGCAACAATTATCAGCTCATAAGTGCAACTATGACAAAATTTATAATTTGCTTAACGCAAAGTTAACAGATATAGAATGTGAACGATTAAATAATTTTGATCAGTTTTTGGCAGACCCACGGATTAATATGGACAAAGATGAATATCTTGCGGCGATCAGATCTTCTATAAGAAAACCTAAAATTTTTCTTAAAAGATCCTTCAAAGACAGATCAATAAATGCTTTTAATTCGCGGATTTTAAAAATGCACAAAGCAAACATGGATATTCAATTTGTTCTGGATGCTTATGCATGCGTGTCGTATATAGTTAACTATATAAACAAGTCGAATCGGGGTGTTTCACGTTTGTTGCAAGAAACAATGAACGAGATACGTGAAGGAAATTATTCTGTAAAACAAAAGTTGCAGCATATAGGTAATAAATTCATATCAGCATCCGAAGTCTCAGCCCAAGAAGCAGCTTACAATATCTTGGGAATGCATTTGTCTCAGTGTAGCAACAGTGATGTTTACGTCAATACTCTCTTGCCAGAAAAACGTGTTCGCATACTAAAACCGAGGCAAGAGCTTCAAAATCTTTCTCCTGATTCAACCGATATTTATGTATCGAATTTACTTGAGCATTATATTCAAAGACCGGATAATCTAGGCGATGTGTGTTTGGCTTATTTCGCTGCACATTATACATACTCTAAGACATTGCGCAAAAGGAATCGTCAACATGATGAGGAGGATGAAGATATTCTTGAAGATGACGAGGAACATCCTGATGATGTCGGGGCTTTGTTTCGCTTAAAAAATAATTCGGGTTACGTATATAAAAGAAGAAGTCCGGCTATAATTCGTTTTCCCTCATTTAGGGCCGACTTAAACAGGGACGACTATTTTCGCACATTGGTTATGTTATACTTTCCATGGCGTAACGAAGACGAAGACATTATAGGAAGAAACAACGAAGATACCTGCTCTATCTACATGGATGTAATTGAAAGGAACCGACAGCAGTTTGAAATGTTCAAGGATGGTGAATTACATGATATATTGCAAAGTATTCGTGAAGACAGTGATGGTGGTGAAGACCATGCGAGTAACGATAACATTACAAGTGACCAACTTTTAGACGAGGAGTTTAGAGCCTTGGTTGTTCCAGAATTAGAGGAAAATATAAATGTCTTCGACATTGACAACCACCATGAAGATGACCTGGAATCAGAAGCCAATGTACACTTAGTAAGACTCCCACCATTAGTAAATTTCGAAGAACTTCAGCATTTAATCAGAACACTGAACAATAAACAGCGGTCTTATTTTCAACATCTTTTACAAAATATAGTTCAGAAAGTTCGATTTTATGAGTATGTTGCGGGAGGAGCTGGCGTAGGAAAAAGTCGCCTTATAAAAACCATTTATCAGGCAGTTACTTTTAGATATAATTCTATACCTGGCGCTAATCCGGATTTGCCAAAAGTATTATTAAGTGCTCCTACCGGAAAAGCTGCTTTTGGAATTGGAGGTGCGACATTACATTCACTTTTTTCCCTTCCAGTAAACCAGTTCCGAGGAGAGCTACGTCCACTAAGCAGTGATCTTGTTAATAGGCTCTGGTTAAATTTACAGATCTGAAATTGATCATAATAGACGAGGTCTCCATGGTTGGATGTAGAATGTTAGGTTTCCTTGACGCACGCCTGAGGCAAATTTTTAAAACGACTGAAGCCTTTGGAGGAATCTCTATAGTTTTGTTCGGAGATCTAAAACAACTGCTTCCAGTTGGGGATAAATGGATATTTAGTACCAATACTGCTAATCCATACCACATCCTCGCAGGGGGTGGCTTGTGGGATCTGTTTTCTTTTAATGAGCTAACAGAGATAATGCGACAAAGGGAGGACCAAGATTTCGCGTTTGCACTGAACCGAATGTCAACTGGAGAAATGACTGAAGAAGATGTTTCGCTCATAAAGTCAAGGGTCATACCAACATCGGAGATACCAAATGAAGCAATTCATTTATTCCTGTCAAACGAAGAAACCGATAATTATAATTCCCTTAGATTGGCACAAATCACATCAGAACAATTTGTTTCCAAGGCATCCGATATTTTGAAGTCAGATTCATTAGCTATCGGTCAACGGAATCAAATTTTAAGTTCGGTTCTCAATTTAAAGACCTCAGAAACGCAAGGACTTTGTAGTGAACTAAAATTAAAATTGAGTGCAAAATATATGATGACGATCAATATTGATACCAACGATGGCCTAGTCAATGGAGCCACTGGCATACTGAAGCATATTGATTTTGGTAGAAACTCAACAAAACCAATAACGCTTTGGATCTTATTTTCTGATGAAAGTGTTGGAAGAATGGCGAGAAGAAAAAAACCACATCCCACAGAATTATTATGGACTCCCATTGAAAAGTGCCGCCGAACGTTCCAGTACAAACGGAATGAACAAATAACTATAGAACGCTTACAGTTTCCATTGGTAGTTGCAGAAGGTATAACCATACACAAAAGTCAAGGCGCAACCTATGAAAAAGTTGCTGTTCATGTTCGGAAAGGTATGAGTAGGGCTTCTCTCTATGTCGCTTGTAGTAGAGCCACTAAAGCAAGTGGGCTATACATTATTGGAACATTTACTCCACCAAAACCTTTCTGCAGCTCTGATGTTGTCAAAATAGAATTGGAACGGCTTAGATTGCATAAAGCCATACACTTGCAGCATAGTAAGTTTAACACATCGAATAACGCTTTCACAATATTTTATCAAAACATACAAAGTCTGAGTGCTCATCATTCTGATATTTCTAGTGATGTCACTCTAATGCATTGTGACCTATTGTGTTTTGTGGAAACGTGGACATACCCGGAAGAAGAACTTTTCTTTGACAATTTCTCAATATTGTCACGAATAGATTGCAATCATACTGAAGGAAGAGTAAGAGATAAGAGGGGTATCGCAATTTATATTAAGAACGAAAAGTTTTCTGAGGCAAATATTATTTGTCAAAAAGATCTAAGCAGAGGCAGAAAATCATTTCAGTATTCCCTCATCCAATTCAGAGATTTGTATCTTATAGTACTTTACAGGAATTCTTCATATCCCGAATGCAACTTCAAACGTATTTTACTTGAAGCTATATGTGATATTAGAGAACGTTTCGGCGATAATTCAAATATTGTAATTGTCGGGGATTTCAATATCTGTAGAAGTAGTCGAACTAGTACAATTGAAACTGCTCTTCGTTCAATGGGCTTATTATCAAAGTTGGAGAGAAATATACCAACAACGAATCACGGTACGCACATCGATTGGGTATTTAGTAAAGAAAATTTAAATATTAATTGTAGCACTTACGCCACAGTTCACAGCCACCATGATGGAATAGTAATATATAATTAGAATTTTATACTTATAATATAGAATGTAAACACATTTTTTAATAGATTTAGTTTTTATAGAGTTTAGTAAAATATTTTATTGTTTACTCTGTAATCTGTATTAATATATAGATTTATGTTTGATCATAAACATAATATTAATGCAATGAATGACGAATTCGATTCATGTATGACTTCTATATATTTAATTATATTGAAATCCATATTAAGAATAAAATGTAAAATAAGATAACGTTAATTAAGATAGCAATAATTAGATTGTATTTAGACAATGAATTTTAGGTAATAAAAA